GTTCATTTGGGTTTATTTGGCTTTTTGAATCACAAAAGACAGAATAGGTTATTTGAGTCACAATAGACAAAATATCACATTCAACCCATAATCATTACACTCTTCTCTCACAAAAAAAGTCAAAAAAGTCAAAAAGTCTTTCCCAAACCAAGCTTTTAAGCCCAGGCTCAAATAGTCAAAAAAGCCAAAAAGCTAAAAAGCTAACCCACTTCCCAAACGGAAGCTAAAAGTTAATTTTTTCGACTTTATATTTTTTTTTTTGTATAAAAAATATGAGAAATAATGTGATTTAAAATAAGTTAAAAGTTAAAGTTAACTTTTAATTAACTTCCCAAATTACTCCTAGGCCAAATTTGATATTTGGATTCACTTGATTGGAATACACGATGTTATGGGATCCAGTGTCACTATTGTGCGTGAAATCTGTGTGACTCATTTTAGATTCTATTTTAATGATCTGAATTAATCAAATTTTATGAAATATTGAGAACAATATATTTGTAAAAAATTAAGTTAATCAGATATCAATAACTTGTTTATCAGATCGCATTTTTATATATAAAAAAAATGAATATGTATCAAACTAAATACAAATCAGTGTGTTTGGTTTGAATTTTTTGGATTAAATTTTTTAAAAATTGAGTTTTTTGATTTTTATGTTTTTTTGTTTTAGTGAATATTTTTAAAATTTTAAACAATTTTTTTTACTTTTTTAGATGCACCTTACTTAGATATATCTAAAAAGTAAAAATATTGTGAAAAAATATTTTAAAAAATTAATAAATACATAAAAATGTATTGAATTCTTGTATTTTTTTTTGTATTTTTAGTATTTAGTGAATTTTTAAAATATCTTTTTTAGAATTTTTTTACTTTTTTTTGTATAATTATGTTAGGCGTGTCTAAAAAATAAAAAAAAATTGCTTAAAATATAAAAAAAAATTCAGTAAAAACAAAAAAACACAGAAAACAAGAAAGTAGAATTTTTTAAAAAGTGTTTTTGGAAAAATGGAACCAAGCAAACTGAGCCTATCTTTGGGAAGTAGTTTTTGAGGCTTTTTTTGGCTAAAATTGCCACACAAAAAAAAACAAAATAGGTTTTTTAGCCTAATAAGACAAAACATCATATCCAACCCATAATCATTACATTTTTTTTCTCACAAAAAAAGTCAAAAAAGTCAAAAAAGCCAAAAACCCTTTCCAAACCAGGCTTTTTAACTCCATGCTAAAATAGTCAAAAAAATCAAAAAGTCAAAAAGTCAACCCATTTCCCAAACGAAGCCAGGTGGTTAGATGAAGAGGTTATTAATATTCGATAATTGATTTTTTTACAGGTATATTGTTCACAATATTTCTTAAAATCTGAACGATTCGAATTATCAAATAGATTCCGAAATGAGTCTCATGGGTTGCACAACAGTCACTGTTGCTTCATGCACAGCAATGAGACTGGATCCGGTGTTATGAACCTTTTAATCACATAACGTGGGTGTTTGAAAAGTTGACTATTTTAGTAGGTTATTTTAGTTTTTGACTATTTTGATATGCTAAAATTTGTGTTTAGGAAGATGATTAGATTTTTTTATAGTTAGATGTAATATTTATGAAAGAAAAAGTGAAATAATTATAGATTTGATGTGACATTTTGTCTTATTAATTATTTTAATTTATTTTATCTTTTTTATAAATTTTATTCAAAAAATAATCCAAAACTCACTTGCCAAACATGACCAATATTTTTACAATCAAACATTATCATTTATATAGGATTTATTTATTTATTTATTTATTTTTTGGGTACAGCTGAAAGGTCATTTACATAGGATTGGCTAATTCCATTTCATTGCACATGCAAGTAATCAAATATGGCCTTAGAAACCATCACTTTATGTTAGCCTGTAAAATTTAATTGGTAAATCTCATTGTTGGCCTAAAAAGTAGTTATTTTCGGTAAAATTTTGATGAAAAAAAATTTCAATTCAGTTTAAACTCTAAAAAATAATTATAAATAAGTGATAAATTTTATAAATATTAATTAGGAGAATTTTTTTTAAGGTCCCTAATATTAAGATTTTATAAGATAAATGATATATAATATTTTTACAGTAGTTAAGGTCCCTCAGTGTTTTTACAGAAAAAATTTAATTCAGAGAAGTTTGTCCGACTTAGAGAAATTTCGCCGTTACTCAAAAAAAATTTCAATTTTACAAAGAAATTTTGAAATATCTGTGTAAAATTTCAAAATTTCTTTATGAAATTGAAATTTCTCTGAGTTGGGGTTGAAATTTCTCTGAATTGGGTGAAGTTTCTCTTAGTCGGGCAAAATTTTTTTAAGTCAAATTTTTTCTGTGAAAATGTTCAAGGGCCTTAGCTAATAAAAAAAAATGTCTTACACCCCTCCTACTACACAAAATTAAAGAGAGATGTTTTACTAATTTTTCCTATTAATTTTTATAATTTAATGAATTTGTAAGAATTTTTTAGAAATACGTGGGTGGTAATTTCCCCAATTTTGATTGATTTGCCCTTTTTCTTCCTTTCAAGTATGGATCGTCGGCCGCTCTTTCCTGCGACCTTCCCTGCCGCACTCCCCAAAACGACGTCGTTTTGGGGAAAACGGCGTCATTTCATTTAGTTTTTTTTTTTAAAAAATTTTTGCTCTCAAAATTTGAGTTTCCCGCTTGAACTCTTATTTGACTTTCATCTTTGTCTCGCTCTCCTCTGTTTAGCCCTAACCACGCAGCTGGAAAGAGAGAGAGAGAAGAGAGGCACAGCTAGAGAAAACAAGACGATCGACGAACGAAAAGACGATCGGCGCCATCTGCGAAGACGGAGAGAGATGGTAGAGGGAGGCGACGGTGATGGAGAGAGGTTGGCGGAGGGACGCGAGTCCGGTTGTGACGCGACGGCGGTAAGGCAACATTGTAGCCATGACGAGGTCTATTTCAGTCTCTGTGTCATTTCTCTATATTTACATTTTTTATGGTTGTAGTTGCCAATATGCTCAATGGCTATAGTTGCTGATATGGTTTAAATTGCTTTATAGCTCTGCTTAATATTGCTTTATAGCTGTATATGTACTGCTTAACGTTGCTTAACATATGTAAATCTTATACTTCCTAGCTGTATATGTAAATCTTGCCTATTTTTTATATATGTCAGTGCTAATCATGTGTTATTAAGCATTATATAATTGGAAGCAAATCTGTGCTTTTAAGCATTATCTAATGGCATTGTGAGCAAACATGTAACTTGCTTGTTTAGAACTTTGTTACTCTGTTTCAATACAAAGCAACATCTAGTAATTGTGAGCAAACAAACTTTGTTACTTTGTTACTCTGTTTCGAAACTTTGGTATTAGATGATTTTGTGTTATGTATATATATAATGCAATTACAGCAGTCTATACATACCCTCACTATATAATTGGAAGCAAATCTGTGCTTTTATGCATAAGGTCATTTATATTAATTGGGAGATTCTATAAGGGGCCAATATTTTGTCAAATTTAATTATCCTCATTATGAAATTCAAAACATCTATTTTAATCGACTGTCTTATAAAAATTATATAAACGAGAGAAATCATTGAAAGATCCAAGTAATAAATGAGAGAACACATTAAAATATATTGGTAAATGTTGATAATTTAGATAACTGGATGCACATAGGTACTTTATTAAATTACAAAGTTAGAGATAGAAAATTAAACACTGGCATACCTGTCCAAAAAAATCCAAGTCATAGATCCGAGTAATATAAATTGATTCATTGAACCTATAAATCGAATTGCAGGTAATCGAAGAAAATAATTTTGTTGATGAGTTGGCTAATTGTGGTTGGAAGCCGAAATTGGGCATGTCATTTGACTCTGAACAAGGTGCATATGACTTTTACAATAGCTATGGTGGAAAGGTGGGCTTTAGTATTAGGAAGCTATATGCACACAAGAACAAACATACTAAGGAAATAACTTCACGGACTTTTGTATGTTACAAAGAGGGAACTCGGGGTATTGACAAGCGAGATCCACTAGTAAAATTTCCGAGACAAGAGGTAAGGTGTGGTTGTGGTGCTCGATTTAGTATCAAGTTAGATAGAAATTTAGGAAAATATGTTGCCATTGATTTTGTTGAATATCATAATCATGATCTTGTACCTCAAGAGTGCATTCATATGTTTCCATCTCAAAGAAAAATATCTACCACCTAAACAATTGAAGTAGAACTGGCTTCAGAATCTGGAATTCCTCTTAGGTCTGCTTATGAGCTATTTGGTAGGGAATCTGGTGGAAGAGCATCACTTGGCTTCACCAAATTGGACCAAAAAAATTACTTGAGATCGAAGAGACAAAAAGATTTGGAATATAGAGAAGCGGTTAGTGTGTTGCAATACTTTCGTAAGAAAACTTTGGAAAATCCATCCTTTTATTATGCAGTCCAATTAGATTGTGAAGAGAAAATAAGTAATATATTTTGGGCCGATGCACAAATGATAATGGACTATGCTCAATTTGGTGATGTAGTGACCTTTGACACTACTTACAAATTAAATAACGAACATAGACCTTTTGGAACCTTTGTTGGATTTAATCATCATCGAGAAACAGTTATATTCAGTGCAGCATTGATGTATGATGAGACTGCCAAATCATTCACATGGTTGTTTTAGATTTTTTTGGAGGCAATGTCAAATAAAGCTCCAAAAACTATTTTCACAGATCAAGATGTTGTGATGGCTAAGGCCATTCCAATTGTCATGCCTAGTACAAACCACCGACTTTGTATATGGCATTTGATGCAAAATGCTGTGAAGCATGTAAGTTCCCTCTTTGAAGATGTTGGGGTGAAGGGTGTGTTTTCAAATTTTATGCATCAAATTGATGATGAAGAAGAATTCAGAATATAATGGGACCAAATGCTTGATAGGTATGATGCACGCAACAATCATTGGTTGGAGCAAACTTTTGGTGTGAAGGAGAAATAAGGATGGCCATATATTATGAATTCTTGGGCAGCTGGAATGAGTACTACTCAACTAAGTGAATCATTCAATGCATTTTTGAAGGATTATCTCAATTGTGATCATAACTTGATGGAATTTTTCATGCATTTTGAGAGGGTGCTCTATGACAAGAGGTATAAAGAATTGGAAGCCGAGTATAATTTGTCCCAAAAATTGCCAAGGGTTTCCATTCCAACTGTGATGTTAAAGCAAATGGCAGATATTTACACGAAAACAATTTTTGAGGAATTCCAAAATGAGTACGTGCAGTCCATTGAAGCGTCTATTGTAGGCACTATTCATGATGGTGAGAGTACCATATTCATCATTCAAACGGACGTAGATGGAAAAAAAGATAAGAATGTGACAATGGATAAAGATGGTTTTTTAAGTTGTAGTTGCAAGAAGTTTGAAGTGAAGGGCATAGTGTGTCGACATTTTTTAAAGGTGCTTAGAGAGATAATCAATGCAAAGGACCTTCCTGCACAATACATACTCAAACGATGGACTAAAAAAGCAAGGGCTGAAAGTGTGAAAGATAGGCGCGGGTATGATGTGAAGGCTGATGTGAAACTACATCAAAGCGATCGATATAGGTCATTGATGAATATGTTTAGAGCAATAGCAAGTAGAGCCGCCAAAAGTGAAGAAACTTATCATTTGTCACTTGTAAAATGTGAAGAACTGAGTGTCATGGTTGAAGACAAATTAAGTGTGCACACTTGTGGTCAAGTGGAGATCATCGAATTGAGAAATTCCTCAGCTAACACATGCCCACAGAGTAAAGAAGTAGATTGTCCAATCCAAGACAAGGGACTCAAGAAAAGACAAGCAACTAGTAAGGGAAGAAGGAAGATCAAGGGCGGGATGGAAAAATCCATTGCAAAGAAGAAAAGAATGCAATCTAATTAGGTAATTGCACAAAATTGAACCTATGATTAAATGATATTTTGTTATGTGTTATGTGATGTGTTACCAATTTTGTCTTATGTGTGTTAGAAAACTAATGAATTAAAGAAATTGGTCATTTGTAGGGTGATGCTTTTTGTACTCTTGAAAATCAATCTGAGCCTCGTACCACCATGGGTAATAATTGTATTCAGTTAATATTTACTATTGTGTGCAACCTTGTATTAATCTTGTTGGATTGGTTATTCTTGTAATCTAGTAGGGTGATATTTATTATTTTGGTATTTTTTTATGCATGTAGGATGGTTCTTTTTATGCTTCCCAAGGTCAATCTCAACCTTCTTCGGCCATTGGTAATCATGCAATACAGGTAAACTTTTTTGTGATTCCCATGGTTTGAGTTAGTTGCATATCACAAATTTTGTCTTATTATGAGAATTGTGTAATTTGGAAGTGATTTTTAGATTCTTCTTATGATATGAAATCATGGGTTTGTTCAGTTTTGTGTTGTAGCAAACTTCATTTTGGAATATATTTCATGTATGCCCAAGAAACAGATTAGTTTTTGTATATTACCTGATAAGAAAAACATGTGTGTTCTTTTTCACTTGTACTCTAGCACATATGCTTGTTGACTGGGCTGTCTAAGGGAAATTCCCATGTTAAATTTATTATGTTGCTAATGATAGAACTCCAAAGGGTTAAACTTTGTAAAACCAAAAGAGCATATCTCAGAAAAAGGAGAATAAAAAACCTATAATGGCTTACTCATGTAATGGATTTTGTTTTGGTCTATTTCTGATACTACTGTCTTGAAGTTTTATATCAAAGGCAAAAAAGATTGCAAATTGGCTTTCATATCAACGGCAACATCAAAACATTTTTGTTTAGTTATTTGGCATTGAGCAAGTTGGCACCTATGTACATCCTAAGATAAAGGTCATCAATGTGCATTAATGTTGTTTTACTTTCCTACATTGGTTGTATAGGGTGTTATTGTTTATACTCCCCAAGTTCAATCTCAACGTTCTTTGGGCATATGCAACCATTGTTTTACTTTATTAATGTTGTTTTACTTTCTCACATTGGTTGTATAGGGTGTTACTGTTTATACTCCCTAAGGTCAAGTTTAACCTCCTTTCATCATGAGTAGTAATGTCACGACCCAAACCCGCTCCTATGGGTTTATGTCACGACCCAAACTCGCGCCCTATGGGTTTAGCACCGTAACCGGCCAGTAATCCGTGATTACCGAAGGCCTACTTAACAGTAATACAGAGTACAAGGGCTAGCGGAAGCCACAACAGTAAATGAAAGATGTCCAATGAGCTGTGACAGTCTGTATGCAAAAAGACTTTTCATAACACATTCACATTCGGAACAAAAGCAATATGTACATACACCATATACAGGCATTTAGGTTAGGGACCAAATCCCTACCATAACAGTACAGTACAAGTCTATACAATATTACAAAACAGAGACAGAAGGGTGAACTGAGACACCCCAAAAAGCCTAACCTTGGACACACTTGGAACCTCACAGTGAGGCATGTTGGTTGGCTTGACAAAAATAGAGTTTAACACAACGCTCGTAGCTCCAATCCGGTGCCTGGACACCTACATATAGATATAAACAGTGAGCGAAAGCCCAGTGAATAACATATGCGTAAAGAGGTTAGGAATGAATGTCCTTCCAGTATTTAAAACAGTCATTTGAACAGTATATCAGTTATTCGATCATAACAGTCATAAGTGGTACATCCAATAGCAAACAGCACAGTAGGTCTTAACAGACCGAACAGTCAGTTGATGGCAATCATATCAGTAAACAGTAGTGGTTCCAAACATGGGAACCGGCAGAAATCTCTGTGACAGTAGCAGTACAGTACAGTAACAGTAAATTGCTATGGATGCCACGAATATAGTTTGTAAATAGGATAAGCATTCATTCAGTAAGAAATATCATTTCAGAAAGCAGTACACTTGATCATTCAGAAAATATTCATGATTGAATATATCTTTACAACATTGTTACTCACAGAGCACTGGGCTACAGATAGGCTAGAGCGTCCTCGGATGCCAACCCTACACAGTTACAGAATGAACACACACTAAGTTACACACTTAGGAATCAATGACTTAGTCCCTAACTTGACTCGGTGTGGTTCTACATCAATATCCTCATTAAGATGCCTTAAACTATGCTTAGGAATGCCTAGGATGAAATGAGGATGCAAAGATGTACTTAAAAACACTTTTCAAAATTTTCAGAAAACAGGGGTGTCGCTCGAGTGTGGCTTTCTTCACTCAAGCGAGCTTGTCAAAACAGTGGGGTCGCTCAAGCGTGAACTTTCTCGCTCAAGCAGTCTGTAAAAATGCAAAAAGTGCTGGATATTGAAAATTTCCGCTTGACGCCCGCGCGACGCTAACTCGAGCGTGAGACACAGTCCTCGCTCGAGCGTAATGCATCTGCGTGCACCAAAACCTGAGAGCTTGCAATTTACGCTCGAGCCGTCATTCCTTTGCTCGAGCGGAGCTCTGAACAAACGATGGTCGCTCGAGCGTGGAATCCTTCGCTCGAGCGAGGAAACCAAATTTTGGAATTTCCAGATTTGCCTTCAAAGCTCAAACCAAGCATTCAACATCTCAAAACTCAACCTCTTGGGCCCATTTTCTGGAAAACACTTGAAAACCAACAATATAACATGTTTTGAAGATCAATTTATAAAATCAAAGCCCAAAGGTGAGTCAATTAAACACAATTTCAAATAAACTTCAAGAACATGATGAACATACGACATGCAAGTGTTCAATTGAAATCAAAGCTTCCAATACATAATCAAATGAATCGAAACTTCCAAAAACATGATGAATTCATGAACTATAATCAAGATATGGACATGCATGTAGCAATTTCCATGAAAACAACCTCAAAATGCTAGAACATGTACATGCATGCATGATTTAAGCTTCAATTCAACATTTTGAACCAATTCTAGACTCTAATCACCAAACTTCCATGAAACATGCAAGATACAACTTAAATACAAGTTCAAGATGATTCTGCTACCTTAGGTCCTTAATTTCAAGAATGGAAGCTCAATTTGTGCAATTATCCTCCAAATCTTCTAATTCTCCAAGTAATTCTCTAGATGAAACAATTCTCTCTCAAGTCTCTCTCTCTCTCTCTCGGTTTTCGCCTAGAAAAATGGCTGAGATAGTGTATCAAAATTGAAATGAACTAATGGCCTAAAAATGCCCACTCAATGGCAAAAGGGTAATAAACTCATTTAATGTAATTTAACATTATTTAATCCAATATAATCATACCAAATCAAATTTCAATTAAACATACCATAAAATCACATAAATTCTAATTAACATGAAACATTAATCAATTTCATATTCGGCCGCCGATAAGGCCTTCAATTCACAGTTCGATACTTAAAACATAAACAGGTCAATTAACAGTCAAACAGATAGAAATGCATTTAAACCAATACACTCAATCGATCAGTTCAAAATGTCAGTCCAATCAGTTACTTAATCATGTTCAGTCACAGTTTAGCAGTAATCAGTGGTATTATCAGTAAACAGTGGTGAGGGTTATCACAGTCTCCCCTCCTTACAAAGAGTTTGGTCCTCCAAACTCGAATTACCTTCATTTTGGAAGAATACCGGATCCAGAGGGAACAGTTCAGGATATCTCTTGATCATATCATTTTCTCTTTCCCAAGTGGCATATACGTCACCATGGTTTTGACAATTAACTTTCACTAATGGAATTTCTTTATTCCTCAAATTCTTGATCTGTCTGTTTACAATCTGAATAGGCCGTTCCTCATAAGTGTAGTCGTCACTTAGCACTACACGAGTAGGCTCAATCACATGGAAGGGATCCCGAAGATAATCCCTCAACATTGAAATATGAAAGACATTATGCATATGCTCCATTTTAGGAGGAAGCGCTACTTGATGCGCCACCGGATTGATCTTTTCAATGATTTCATACGGTCCGACATATCTCGGTGATAGCTTACCCTTGACTCCAAAACGAGTCTGGCCTTTCATCGGTGTCACTTTAACAAAAACGGGATCACCTACTTCATATTCTCTGTCTTGCCTTCGGACATCCGCATAACTTTTCTGTCGGCTTTGTGTGGTTTTCAGCCTCTGTTGAATCAGTTTCACCTTTTCTGTGGTTTCTTGTACAATCTCGGGCCCAAGCAAAGGCCCATCTCCAACTTTTGCCCAGCAAATCGGAGATCAATATTTTCTTCCATACAAAGCCTCGAAAGGCGCCATGCTTAAATGAAAACTGTTGTTGTAGGCGAATTCAGCCAAAGGTAAATGGCTTTCCTAATTTCCTTAGAAATCAAGGACACACATTCGCAGTAAATCCTCCAGAGTCTGGATGGTTCTTTCTGACTGGCCATCTGTCTGAGGATGGTACGCACTACTCAGTATCAGTTCAGTACCCAATGCTGTCTATAGACTTTGCCAGAATATCGATGTAAACTTCGAGTCCCTATCAGAAACAATGGACACAGGCACTCCATGCAATCTAACAATCTCATCAATATAGATTATAGCCAATTTGTCCGCATTATAAATTGTTTTGACAGGTAAGAAGTGAGCAGATTTAGTTAGTCTATCAAAAATAACCCAAATTGAGTCCATACCTTTACTAGAGTGAGATAAACCAACAATGAAATCCATAGTGATATGTTCCCATTTCCACTCCGGTATCGGTAAGGGCTGCAGTAAGCCTGCGGGTCGTTGATGTTCGGCTTTGACTTGTTGGCAATGAAGACATTTCGACACAAAATCAGCAATTTCTTCCTTCATTCCCGGCCATCAGAAATTCTGTTTCAAGTCTTGGTACATTTTCGTATTTCTTGGATGGACAGACAGTTTTGAATTGTAGCCCTCTTGCAAAATTCGTCTTTTCAGTTCAGAATCACTCGGTACACACAACCTTCCTTGAAATCTCAACACATT